TGTCCATATTGTCGGAAGTTTGACTTCTAAACTTCCTTCGAATATCAATAATATTCAACATTGTTTTCTCGTCAGAAAGAATGTATCAACCCCCAAGGTGCTCTTTCACTTCGTTAACCTCGGCTGATGGTAGATAGCCCAGCCGAACCTCCAGGGCTGGATTATCCGGAAAGAAAATAGCAGCGAAAAGAATCGGAATCGCCACCTTACATGAACTGGCTTTGGGCGGTGGGATTCTAGAAGGCCCTGATGAAATCGTGTGACCCCAAGGGAATTACCCCAAAATCATTAAGCGACCAGTCCACCCCAGCACTTAACCGGTCACTGAATGGCATCTGAATTAGGTTCGAATCTGCTTGGGAGACAAGGTTTCTGCATGCACTCCTACAGAAAGCCAAATTGGAGAAGGGGTTTTAATGCGGTTCAAAAAGCATAATTGTTATGGTGGAGAAGAAAAGTGCACAATTCAAACAGCTTGTTCTGGACCCAACTCTTAACTCTTAAGTGTATGTGCCAAAAATACAATCAACATCTCCACTCCACACCACAGGATCACTCGAATGCAAATGACCTTCTTTCCATGTGTGGCATGACACGAGACAGCTCTCGGAATTCCGAAGTTTCTTCAACTTTTCAAAAAACGCCGAGCTGCTATGGCGATACTTCCGATCAACATGGCCATCACCGAAGCATCCGCACGGCGGCCGATGCCAATGCCATTGCAGAATACTGCATGAGGCTGATGAACAAGCAAGTTTGCAAAGCTACCCAGGCTACCCAGCACGGGCTGGAAATGCAAAAAATAGATGGAATGTTTCCACCATGATCTTGCGCGTGATTGGGTTGCTCTCACCTGCCGTATCTTCTACCTCCACTCTTTGAGCAAGCTTGCAATACAGATCACCCAAGATTCACCATCGCCATTCCCTTGAAAAAACCTGTGGTTTCGGGGCTGTAGGCACTGTAGGCCACTCCCTTCATCTTACCCCTTTTTATTGAGGTCCATTGGTCCATTGGTCCATTGGTCCATTGGTCCATTGGTCCATTGGTCCATTGGTCCATTCATGTCCATTCTACAGGAGTTGTTCCACAGCTCAACGCTTGTTTCGCAGTCGATTCGAGCTCACATCCGCTGCATTCCTGGGCAAATTGCTATGGTCCCCCTGAAATCGGAGGAAATCGTTGGTGCCCGTGGGTTGCCGGAGTTTTGGTTGCATATTGGTGGATTGATGGATTTTGGTGGATTACCGTATTGGTGGATCATTGATTGATCATTGCCTGTCTGTTACAAATGTTTGCACTTCATGGCAAGCTATCTATAGTTTGGGCATCATTTTATACTATAAACAGGGGCTATAAATCTGAAATGAGAGCAATACTTCACCAGAATCCAGAGATTAGTTCACGTACTAACCACAGTTTGCTGAGTTGGTTGGGTCTGAACATTGCCAAAGTTCCCTGCACAGTGATCTGCAGCAGACCAGCGCCATGGCCCGAAGCCACTAGCCAACCTGATGGAGGTGAAACTTGGAAACCGCAAAAAAAATAGGAAGCTTCGCTTGCCTCTATTTTAGGATTGGATTTTACTTGTCCATCTGGCGCTACGAAAATCCACCAAATCGGTGGCCGCCGACATCTGGTGGGGATGAAATGGCGGCACATTCTGTTTGTCTTAAAAGTGTGCAAATCATTGCTAGTCATCATCCGATCATCCCCTATTTTCAGACACACATGACCCCCGAAGGCAACCAGCTGCCGAGAGCGCTGGGCGCGCCCACCGTCTTGGTGCCGTCCTTGTTGACCACAGAAGGAGCTGGGCACCGACAAAACCCGCTCCTCCTCCAGAAAGGGTCGTGCCTTGCTGTCGGAACGACGAGGCATCGATTTCACCGTTGGGATATCCCACAAGTTGGGAATCACCTGTGAATATACGGGGTTCCGATGCTGGACACCAAATCATCCAAGTTCATCCAAGTTCTTCATGTCCTGGGGAAATCACTGGTGAAAAGGGGCACCCCAATTTTGAGAAAAAACACGCATGGGTGATGTGGGTCAGTTCACCCTCGCACCCAGCTCTTCACCCAAAATGAACAAATGGCTCTATGTTGGGAGGTTCATCAATCCAGTCTTTTTTGTTCACCTGTTGAAAAACACCCAACAGCTGCGGTTCACATCCCAAGAAAAAGGCAAGTCTCCAATTACAGTAGGGGGTGCAGTAGTAGCCAGCCCGCAGACTCTCCTTGGACCTGGTGATAATCTCCATCTTCATTGGTCAGTGGTTGTTGAAGTCCACATTGGTCAATAGTAAAAGAAAACCTGGTATTCCCAGGATAAGAAGCTCGAAACTTCTACTACAAATAAAGGGAAACATAAAATAGAAACACGTTCAAACAGCTGCAAAACACATCAAAACACAATAATCAATGCTTGGAAATCGAAGAACGGTAATCAACACTGACAGCACATTCTGGAAAAACGGATGCCTCACAGTGTCCCCTCTTTCAGGATCATCCAAATCATCCAATTGGTTCCCCCAAATTGCCGCATCACAAACCATCGAACATCAAAAGAATCTCCATTTCCTCCCATGTTTTGTTGCTTTATAAATCTTTATAATCCCCATTTCACAGTGTCACATCATCTTAAAATGTCTTCCGAATTTCCATTGTCCATATTTGTTCCATACATTTTCTTAAAAAAAACATGTTTTTTCCGATGTTCCCATGAAAAATCCCAGTTCCCTCCCAAACTTCGACCAAGATGCCAGCAGTGCCTCCGGCACCCCCAGCACCCGCCCTTCCTCCAGGTTCTGGCGGCCCGCTCCCAGCGCTGCGACGAAGCGCAGGACGCGCAGCTCCCTGGTGTCTCTGGTTGTTGGGTTGTCATTGGCTATGAGGGCTATGAGTCAAAAGCCTGGCACACTAAAAATCCCTAAAATAGTTTGTTAATGGATGTGTATTGCCCCAAACATGAGGTGATTTAATAGCTCTTGACATATCCCAGTATATTGTTTCCTCCCTTATCTGGGGATGGGTGAGATACCCCTCAAATTGCATGGTTGACAAAATGATGAAGAGAATCTGCGCTTTTTTGGGCCTTAATTTTTGATCCATTCTCATTCATCTATTTCATTCTATTTCTATATGTGTGTTCTCTCCTGTCCCCAAAAAAGTATAAAAATTGTCAATTATGATTGGAAAACTGGGTGTCATTCATCTACGAATCTATGAGTTGACCAGCCAAAGATGAGGGATACTGCATCTCATTTACTTATGACATGAAAACAGATACCCTCTGGTAATTCAGCTGTGGAAAATCGCCATGTTCAACATGGTAAATCTTCAATGGGCCTTTTTCCACAGCTATGTCAAATTACCAAAGGATAGCAACCCCAAACAAATGCCAAAAAGTTGAAAAACTGGAAAATATGAGAGCACATCGTCGAAATCCTGGGAAAACGTTTCTATCTTTTTGTGGACACGTATATGTCTTATCTATTGAACCTGTTGGTTCACCAGCCAAAGATATCGAATACCCACTGATACTGTATACATCTGTATCCCATTTGTGTCACTTTTTTCTGCCGAAACATGACAAAGTAACACAATGTTTCAATGTTTTAGACTTTTAGACAGAGCCAGAAAGAGAGAAACGTCTATGGGAAAAACACGGAGTTTCCAAGATCAAATATTGGGTTGTTGATGCTTATTTTACCAGCCAAATACATGGGGTTGTCTCAAATTTGGAAACCCCAAAAGTCCATCTTGTGGCTCAGTTATCATAATGTTCCCCATGAAAAAGGCTTTAGATTGGGGATGCACAATCTTGAGATAAACCCATATAGGGCCTTACATATGAAACGCATGGTTCAGTAAATCCAAGCGGTGCGTCAAGATGCAGTAAAGCCACTGCTGTTGATGTACACTCACACGCGATATACGTGGTATCAGCGTAAATTCTGCATCATGAATCATGCATAATTCATGTATGCATTGGACATGAGATACACAAGGGTGACGTGGTGGTAAATCAACGTAAAACATGTTTTCACACAGCTCACCAAGATTGGAGGAAATTTACCATTCTTGAAACCTTCTCTTCACAACCGCAACACAAGACTGCTGTGGCCCCTTCTCCTTGGCTGCCCGGCCCAGAGAACAAAATGTACACGTGAGAATAGGTGGGCAGCAATGGTTGGCCTCGACGACAGTGATCTCTCAGAAGTGGCGAACTACAAATCCAATGTGTATCCCTAAGAAAGTACCCTCTGGCAATTTAACATAGCTACTGAAAATTAAATGGCCATTTATAGTAGGTTTTCCCATTAAAAATGGTGATTTTCCATAGTTATGTTAGTTTACCAGAGGGTAGACCAACGACGGGCGGGGAAATTAGGATCATATTTTTTCAAAAATGCTGAAAAGCACGATCTCGCTTTGCCGTTGATGGAGTGCTCTGGATGATCCCTGATGACACTGGGGTACACTGTACAGACTAAATTCTCGTAATCAAACATGGCTGGCTGTAAAGATACCCACTTTGTAGATATTCCACATGTTGATTTCCAGCCAGCTATGTCAGTTTACGAGAGGGTACTCCTTGTTTTGAGGTTCTGCTTTTTGCAACGCATCCTTTCAGAGGCAGACTAATGCCACCGCAACATTGTTGTCAGCGAAAAACTGACAAAAGTATTCCCAAGCAGCCTCCACAACTTACACGAGAGCAAATGTTCCCGGGTAGGATCCATCTTGCACCAAATCTGCTGTGAGGTTTACCCGAACATACAAGCCCTCATATCAGCCTGCATATGCCAATCATGCTGGAAAGTGGAAGAGCTTTCCAAACACATGAAGAACATTGAAGAACCACTCAGCATCTGACCTCCACGCAATAGAACAATGGAAACGGCATCCCATGGAACGCAGCCAAACCTTGGACAGCTGGCCACGGCCAAGATCACCGTGCGAACAGCACAGGCACAGGAAACCCCGAGGTTTTCTCCGGGCATCTCCGGGCATCTCTCTCTCTCTCTCTCTCTCTGCTTTGGAAACCAGAATATTCCGGTAGTCTTTCCGAAACTTGAAATGACTTGCATGGGATTGCCATGTCTTTCGATGTCTTTCGTAGCAAAATGAGCCAAGCATCTGCACTTGCGCAAAGCCGGGCACAGCACGCAGCAGTTCCAGCAGAGACTGCTGCACAGCCTGGCAGTTTCTCGATGAAAATCTCAGCACTTTTGGTGGATCAAAATCATCAAAAGTCCATCGAAATTCCAAGCCCACCAAAGGTCACCAAAGGTCACCAAAATTACCCAGAAATTACCCAGAAATTACCCAGATGGTTGATATTTGGTTGATATTTGGATGATATTTGGTTGATATTTGGTTGATATTTGGATGATATTTGGATGATATTTGGTTGATATTTGGTGATATTTGGATGATATTTGGTGATATTTGGATGATATTTGGATGATATTTGGTTGATATTTGGATGATATTTGGTTGATATTTGATATTTGGATGATATTTGGATGATATTTGGTTGATATTTGGTTGATATTTGGATGATATTTGGTTGATATTTGGTTGATATTTGGATGATATTTGGATGATATTTGGTTGATATTTGGTTGATATTTGGATGATATTTGGATGATATTTGGATGATATTTGGATGATATTTGGTTGATATTTGGATGATATTTGGATGATATTTGGTTGATATTTGGATGATATTTGGATGATATTTGGTTGATATTTGGATGATATTTGGATGATATTTGGATGATATTTGGATGATATTTGGTTGATATTTGGATGATATTTGGATGATATTTGGTTGATATTTGGTTGATATTTGGATGATATTTGGTTGATATTTGGATGATATTCCCATGAGATCAGATTATATCCGCGTCATTCGTTGGATGAAACGAAACCATGGGCAGCCGGCTGGCCGGGCCCAAAGTACTGCGCCTCGCTGGCGGCTTGAAGCTTCTCACCAGCCTTAAGGATAACATGGGTCAAAGGTTGAACCCCCGGAGCCTATGGTCATCTCATTGATTAGTTATGGATAGTTCCTATCCTATATAATATCCCCATTACATCCCAATACCCATCAAAAAATTCGGATGCAATGCAGATATTTCATGGGGCAATCATTGCAATCACCAAATTATAGTCTATATATCCCCATGAAATCCCCATCGTTGGCATCACAACTTCAAGCCCCTGGCTCCAGTCCAAGCTGCAAGGGCTTGCACCACCCAGTGCCGGTGTGCTGCGAATCTCATGACAGGCGGCCCCGTGAGCGCTCGGCGATAACTGGCCTCGAGGATACGAAGGAGTTACAATCCCTGGGATGATTTTGTGCTGCGGCGGATGCTACATATCTGGAAAAAAACAAGTTAAGGATTATCCATGATGATCCATGATGATCTAACTATGATCTAACTATGATCTAACTGTTGGAAACCCGAAACAAACGGCTGTTGAAAAACGCGTGTTTTCTTTTGAGCCAACAAATTTGGCACCAAGTGTCCACCTTTTCCATGAGATGTGTACATCCAGAGAGGTGCCAACTACTCTCTAGAAGGTGACCCCCCTGGGCCCCTGAGCATCAAGTTTCAAGCCATCATCCCGTTTGGTAACCCTCTCCTATACTCAGACTTGGTTGGGTGAAACAGATTGACAGAGAGTGACTCTAAATATCTTGTGGTTCAAGGTGGGTCCTAAACCTGATGTGTTCGGCGGTGGAAATGATATGGTTTCCCAAATGAAGCTTATCACCTTCAAGTATTTGTTGGAGATTATATGGGGGTGTGTAAAACCCCGCGCCCTTTCAAATGGTTTTTCCAGACGTTATCGTTTTTTCCTCTTATCGTTTTTCCAAGTGCTGGCTTCACACCTTGATCAAAGAATTCACATGAGCGAGGAAAGGAAAAAGGAAAAGGAATAGTAAAGGAAGGGAAAAAAGGAAAGGGAGAGGAAAGGAAAAGGGAAAGGAAAAGGAAAGGGCAAAGAAAGCGAAAGGAAAAGGAAAGGAAAACGAAAGGAAAAGGAACGGAAAAGGAAACGAAAGGAAAGGAAAAAGGAAAGGAAAAGGGACAGGAAAAAGGAAAGGATAAGGAAAAGGAAGAGTAAAGGAAGAGTAAAGGAAGAGACAGGAAAAAGGAAGGGAGAGGAAAAGGGAAAAAAGGCAGTGTCTCACTGTCTCACACGGACCATTTTTGATGCCAAAACTTATTGTTTTAGTTTTCGTTTTGTTATCATTGGCGAATCCTGTGCAATCATCAAAAAAGGAGTGTAGCGACCACCTACCAGGCACCTTCCTTGTGCAAAACCTGCGCCATTACGACAACAAACAATGAAAGGAAGAGACCAAAAGCACTAAATAGCCGCAGAGCCGCAGAATGATGGAAAAATCAAGAACTTTGGATTTCAAGAGTCTGGACACAGATCATTAACATAGCCAACGTTATCGTTTTTTTCCTCTTATCGTTTTTTCGAGTGAAAGCTAAAAATGGCTCATGGGGGATCATGGAAGACTAAACGAATAGGCGCCGGGTTTTTACAAACTCCCATATGAGTTTACCCCCAACAGTTGAGTGATGTTTACATAGTTAGGACATTTACCAACCCCTGTAAAAACATAAAATAAAAACTATCATTTCATCGCCGCGCCACGTATGAGCTGAGCTCCTCCCTAGCCATCTGCCGCTGCAGCTGTCCCAGGGTGAAGTTGGGAAAGCGCGTCCGGAGCCTGCCATAAACCTACCATTTGGGGATTATCCAATTTATGATGATTTTGGGTGTTGTTTATTTTTTTGGTTTGCCACATTAATGGAAATGTGGTGTCCATTGTATCCATACATATGTATATTTGTATTGTAAATATTTATAGATAGTGTGTGTATGTATATATATATATACACCAGTTGTTTGCTTATAATATATACATACATACATATATATATATATTATATATATTATATATATATACAATGCGTTAATATCTCATTATGACCCATAATTGCAACCATTACTATCCATTGGTTTTTACCCATGGTTGGTGCCATGCCATGCTGCCATGCTCCAAAAAAAACGCACCTGGCGAGCTCGAAGTCGGCCCAAACTTGGGGCAGTTTCTGCAGCTGCAGATTGGCCAAGGCGCGGCGTGCCAGCCTGGGAATCGAGTGATCGAAGATCTCCGACATGAGACAGGATTTATAATATGATCTAATATAATATAATAGTATAATAGTATTATTGCTATATATACTATCATATTGTACTATTATACTAAATATGATATTTACCATCTGGTTATTTAACATAGCCATGGAAAATCACTGAAACATAGAGGTTTTAATTGGAAAATCATCCATAAATGGGCCATCTATACCATGGCTATGTTAAATGACCAGAGAGTAAATATGATAATCTAAGGACAATCAAAGGATGATCTAAGGATGATCTAAGGATTAGAATCTATGAGAATCTAGAAATATCAATCATCCTCAATCTTAATACCTCTCGCATTAAGGACTTTCTAAGATCGGTTGAGGACGATTAATATGGATATTGTGATATTGCCATCCTAAAACTGACCTAGATCCTGCCAAGTTAAATAGGGGAAGACAATTTTTTCCTCGAAACAAAAAAAGAAGAAGTGATTCTCAGGGTCTAAGTGATTTTGTGTTGATGGTAACTATGATGATTTAAAGATGCTTGTTGATATTCCATCAACATCTATGACATTATGTTATAATATGTGAAATGTCTTTGATCATCTACCATAGTCTGTGCTACCCGTGTTGGCCTATGTACTTCAGCAAAAGCGGATGCTTTTGCAAAATCTTTATTGCGTTCTTTAGCTGTCTCTTGGGGCTGCCACCCGACCTACAGACTGGCTCATCTAAAAACTAAAATGCGAACACTAGTCTATCTGGTTTTGCGCTTAAGGTTTCAACATTCCGGTCTCATCTTGACTGGACATGGCATCTATACCGCAGTGTCCCCTTTGAGGTGGTCCTGATGAACAGGAAGCCCAAGTTCCACAAAGCGAACTGAAATCAGACTTGGCACAACATGGCAGGTAGGAGCCATCCTTTCTGAAGGCAATGGCTTGCCTAAGCTCGGTGGAACAAAATGAACTGAGCCTGGGATGCCTACGTTCCATACCATCGATGGCGAAACCATGGGGCACCAGTTGAATGCCACGGCGCTGCCAAATCGAAGTCTCGACTAGCCGCTTGCCATTGGTGCAAACGCAGGAGAACTACCCCACGGTTGTATGCATGCACAGGGTTGCCTGTCATGCGCGAAGGCTGACTGGGTTGTGAAGATTATGAAGGGATCGGTGCATCATCACCGTGCCAGAATTGGTTGAGGTGGAAATCTGGGGTGAACATGGGGGCGCCCAATATTTGGATCCTCATTTTTGCACGATGCCAACCCAGTGACACCAACATTTCTCATCAACTCCATCACTATCCATCAAGATGCATCTTTTACATCCCCTAAATCAAACATGGAACCTGAAAAGTTGGTTTGGAAGATGCTAATGCTGCTAATGTCAAATCTGATGAGCGGTTTCCAGAGTCACAGGCCAGCAGTTCCTACATCCATAGATGTGCACTTGGCCTCAGAAAAAAAACGCTGGGATGATGAACCCAAGAGAACCATATGAGATGGTGCGGATGTAATCAGGCTACGATGAGGCTACTGTGAAATAGGTACCGGGGATAAAATGATCATAAAATGGGGATAAAATGGGAGTATATAACGGGGCTAAAATAGGGATATGATATAACTATATATAACTGATACAGTATAACTAACCGACTAACCAATTTGAGAACTACTTGGGATGCTCAAAACCAAGGACCCGAAGTGTCATTATATCAAAAACTGGCCGGGCAATAGGGATTCCCAGTTCATGGATTATGATCATCCGCAATATATAAAGGGTAGTATAACGTAGTGTAACCCCCTATAATCATCATGGCTTTGAACACGGCTCATATGGGTCTGAAAATGGGGTGTGCCTTTGTTTTTTTTCATATTTGAAATCAGATGATAAACCATGGCATTTGGGGTGCTACCCTGGTACCCCATCTTTAGACGAGTGGCCATCCACCGATGAAATGGCCTGATCATTTTTTAATAAATGGTCACCAAATTCCAATCTCGGGACTACAAACGGCCGTTTCATTCTTGTTTTCACCATAGATTTTCACTATCATGAATCATCATAAGATCTCATTCCTGTTCTATTCATCTGGGACAACCCGAAAAAGATCGTTCCAACCCCATTTGCCACCCACTTTGCAACCGCTGCCTCGAGCACACCTGAGGCCCCAACGAAGAGCGCGGCAGCGTTCTCTAGAAATCCCAGGAGTTCCAAGCAACAGCCCAGGCACCACATCAGCAGCCTGTGGGAGAACATGGAACCTCCAAAACAATAACCATGTCATCATGACCAGAATAAGAAAATAACAGAACATAAGTGTTCACACGTGTTTTGGACGGTTTTGAAGTTTAAGAGAAAAAAATCCATACCGTGACATGTTTTGTGTCAAACATTTCGCCCTGTACCCTGACAAGAAAACATGTCCCTATTCGGTTTGAATGGGACCGTTTTTCCAACTTTCTGAGCATGATGTTGATGTGGACACGGGATAGCCAAAACTTCCCACATTCCGAAAAATGTAGATTTTCACGATGTCTTTACTGAATCTATCAATGATTCGAAACCCCAAAAGTGGCTGCAACATATAGGCCCGAGGTCGGTAAGGTCTGGGATCATAGTTCAACTCTGGAAAAATTTTGTTGTTCACCTTACCCTTCAGATCCTTCAGTTTTAGGGGCCCTGTCTTTTCCTGGTTCAACCTGGTTTCAGGGAACCTTCGCTGGCCCAGCTGGGACCCCCCACAAGTGGCGCGATTCGGCATCCACATGGCCCAGCAAGTCAATCGCGACCTGCGCCTGGCCGAGCGTTTGACCTATAGGACCTATGGCTGTGGGTCAAAACCCACCTTGGTGAGGACCAGAATAGTTGTTGGTGATGGATCTCCCCAAATCTTTTACAGGTTTTGATCCATCCTAGTTGAATCCATTTGGATCAAAATTTGGTGGTTGATGTGACCAATTCCAACTGCAAAGGTCAAATGAAAGGAATCAATGAGTTCATTTCAATAAACCAAAAACCCATGCTACTTGCTGCCAGCAAATGATCCGAAGCTGCCAGCGGTACCTGCGGTTCTCGCAAGGCCTTGTGCAAGCGCAGGGCTGTGGCCCGGCTGGGATGCAACCTGCAGTTTGATGAAGTTTGGGACCCTGGGATCCGTGGACCAGTGGAAGGTTGGGATATTGGGCCACAGTGTAATCTGCAACACCCAAGGTCCTGTAAATTGCGCATTGTTAGTTGCAGTGTGTTTATATAGATATATATATATATATATATGTATATGTATATATATATATATATCTATCTATCTATCTGTCTGTCTGTCTGTCTGTCTGTCTGTCTGTCTGTCTGTCTGTCTGTCTGTCTGTCTGTCTGTCTGTCTGTCTGTCTGTCTGTGTGCGCCTACAAATATCTATATATACCATGGGGGACCACAATTGTGAAGCAAGAAATGCAGACTTTTCGGGGCACCCGAACCAGTGCCGGGTGATGCCCGTTGTTGCACGCATACTGCTGGAAAAAAGTTTGGCTCTCAGAGGTGCCGTGCCAACACACAATTAACCCAGCTTTGCAACCCAACAGCATACCTGAATCTTCCACCTACGTCTTTTTTCAGACCCTGTGCCAAAGTCCTGTTTTGTCAGTACCCAGAAAACTTTTCAGGACCTACTCTCAAATTCAGGACCTGGCCATTTTGGGGTATCAATGGTAATGGCAATCATTGGGTGCAAACATGTGAAACCAACATTTGGTGGATATTCAAGCCATTGGCATTGATCCACGCAAATAAAAGCACTCCCAGCCCAAACTCATGGCAAGGCAGGATCAGAATATAGTATATTCCAGAAAGTATGTCAGAATAGATGCCAGATAGGATGCCAGAAAGAATGTCAAATAGAATCTCAGAAAGAATGTAAGATAGTATGTCGGAACATATATGCCACATATACGTCCAGATGATATGTCAGAAACTATGTCAGAATAGTGTGTCAGGGTGGGGATCACTCTTAGTAAGGCAATTTTGAAAATATATTTCAGGTTCGGAATTTTCAAACTGTTGTCCTTCAGGCGCCGAAGCTCCCGTTGAAGGTCAGCATCGCCCCCCATGTCAACTGGTCCAGTCCCACTTCCATTTCAACAAGTCCAACTTCATCGATTAGGGTGTTGGTTGAATGGACTTGGGACTCTAGCTGGCACGGCATCCCTTGTAACCCTGTAGACACTGTAGTGGGCAAAAAGATTGTAACACACAGAATCAGCATCATTTTGATCAGGCATTCTTTTTGCTAATCCTTCTCCCTATACGAAAAATACCCCCAAATGACAAAAACTAGGTGCGATTTCCAATTTTGGGAAATGTCAAATTGGTTAATCTGATTTTTAATTGATCCCCTTGAGGAAACAATTTTAAAAATGAAGGTACCATGTGAGGGTTTCACCCCCAAAGAATAAAAAACTAGTCAACACCGGGGTGTCTTTTATTGGGGTCCGTCCTTTAAAATCGTCAATTTTAGTGTTTTTAATTCAGGTGTTGGTGTTTTATTTGATACTAGGCGAAAGCTTCGAAATCCTATTCTTGGCAGTATTCTATTTAAAGTTTATTTTCATGGATTTTGAAATTAGAAACAAAAAACGGTTTAATCCCTTCCCCCTGTTGCTAAACAGTCGCCCCTTCACCCACCCACCCAAATAACAAACACCTGGAGGAGTTTTTAGTATTGGGGGGGTCTTTAGTATTAGGGTACGAAGCTTCCCCCTAATACTGATAGAAAACACATATATATATATATACACATATTTCTATTTCAAAATCGATCAAATTTCTTTCTTTTTAAATCCAATTAAAATATGGCAAACAAGTGGATTCCGAAGCTTAATATCAAATAAAAACCCCCAACATAAAAAACTATGTATGTTTTTCTATTTCGAAATCGATTAGATTTCCTTTTAAAAATTTAAATAAAATATGGCCAAAAAATTGGATGTCGAAGCTTTTCCCTTATATTAAACCCTAATATCATTTGTTTTTTTTCCTGTTTCAAAATCGATTAGATTTCCTTTTGAAATCTAATGAAAAAAACAAAAAATGATTTTGAAGCTTTCCCCTAATATCAAATTAAAATCCAATTATTAAAATATGTTCAAAAATTGGATTTCGATGCTTCCCCTAATCTTGCATGAAAAATTCCAATATAAGAAAACTAAATTTGTTCTATTTCAGAATCGATTAGATTTCCTTGTAAATTCAAATTAAGATATTGCCAGAAATTGGATTTCGAAGCTTTCCCCTCATATTAAACCATCATATCAAAGACTATTTTTTCTATATCAAAATTCATTAGATTTCCTTTTGAAATCTAATTAGAATATGGTCAAAAATTGGATTTTGAAGTTTTCCCCTAATATTACATTAAAAAACCCTAATATAAAATATTATTTTTTCTTTTTTGAAATCGATTCGATTTCCTTTTAAATTGTAGTAACAAAAATAAAAAACAAAAACCGGATTTCGAAATGTTTCCTCTAATATTAAATTACCAGCCCTAATATATTTAAAAAAAACTGTTTCAAAATCGATTAGTTTTCTGTTTAACATATAATTAAGATATTGCTAAAAATTGGATTTCGAAGTTTAATTAAAAACGCTAATAAAAAAAACTATGTTTTTTCGATTTCAAGAATCGATTAGATTTCCTTTTGACATCCAGCAAAAATATTGCCAGGAAATGCCAAAAAGTGGATTTCGAAGTTTTCCCCCAATATTATATAAACGTTGTAATATAAAATACTTATTTTTTCGACCTTAAAAGACCCTAGTTTAAAAAAATCACCGGGGCTGACTAGTTTTTATTTTTTGGTGGTGAAATCCTGAAATGGGACCTTCATGTTTAATTTGTTTTTGAGGTATCAATTAAAAGTCAAACTGGCCAGCCTGAAATTTCCCAAAATTTAACGCGGACCCTAGTAAAAGGAATCAATGTAATATTTCAGTATTTAGGGTACGTTTAGTAAAAGGAGGTGGGGATTAGTAAGGTTTTCAATTTAATATAAGGGGAAGCTTCGAAATCCAATTTGGCAAGATTTGAGTTAGATTTTGAATAGGAATTCAATCGGTTTTGAAATATAAAGTTCATTTTTTTAAACGAATGTTTTCAATTTAATGTCAGGGGGAAGCTTCGGAATCCAATTTTGGCAATATTTTAGTTAGATGTTATTTAAAAAATGTTTTCCAATTTAGTTTTTTTAACCAAGGGGGAAGTTTCGCACCCTCATACTAAATACCCACTAAATACAAAAAAACTATTCCGTGTGTTCATTATTGGGTGGGGAGGGGCAGACGGTTTATTATGACGCACGGATTGGTCAGGCATCACTTGCTGGAATTATTGGATTCTTTTGGGATGATTGGTATGATGTTTAGTCAGGCATGGTTCCCTTCAGTCATGCACGATTTTTGCAAAAATCCTATTTAGGCACGACCCCAAAATCCCAGCCCGGCAAATTCCGGCCCGGGCCCGGCAAATTCCGGCCCGCGCCTGCAAATTCCGGCCCTGCGTTTTTCCAAAATCAGGCAAAACCAGTAAATCAGGTATTAAGTCAGGTGTAGTTACCTTTTAAGTCATTAAGGCTAGTCAGGCATGGTTCCAGTGGGTACCTTTTCATTGTGAAGGCTAGTCAGGCATGGTTCCCTGAATTCAGGGGCATGGGTACCTTTTAATTATGAAGGCTAGTCAGGCATGGGTTCTGTTAAGTCAGGCGTGGGTGGGTACCTCTTAATTATGAAGGCTAGTCAGGCATGGTTCCCTTAAGTCGGGTGTGGTTACGCTTTAAGTCATGAAGGCTAGTCAGGCATGGGTACCTTTTAAGTGATGAAATCTGAATCAGGCGGAGCTCCTATTCTAAATGTGTTAAATCCAATTGTTCAGTGTGGAAATCGATTTTTTGGCTGGTCTACGGGCAAACCCTGTGTCTTCCAATACCATAGCGTGCTGATGTTGCTTGCCTGCATAATAGTTAAGGCCAAAGCTTAGGTCATCAGTGTGATCCTGAAATGGCGCCACGACCAAGAAGATGACATGTGTAAAATGGGCCCTGGATTAACAAAGGCTGACTAATGAATTTGGAGGATGCCACTAAAGTATGACATGTAATCACTTTTGAGGAGCACTCTATGGCACGCAGCGCGTGCAGCCTGCTTTACGGTTTAGCGTTTGAAAGTTTTAGGCTTTGCCTCTATGGCACGCAGCGTTTGAAAGTTTAACCGTTTACCTCTATGGCAGGCTGTGCGCGCAGTACGCGTTACGGTTTAAAGTTTGAAAGTTTTAGGGTTTATGTGTGTGGCACGCAGTGCGCGCAGCGCGCATTAGGGTTTAGGGTTTGGAAGTTTTATAGTTTATTTTATTGCATGCAGCGTGCACAGCGTGGGTTGAACTTTAGGGTTTCGAAGTTTTAGGGTTAACCTCATGACACGATGGTTTAGGGTTTGGAGATTTTAAGGGGTACTTCTATGGCACACAGCGCGCGCAGCGCGCGTTAGGGTTTAGGGTTTAGGGTTTGGAAATTTTAGGGTTTACCTCTATGACACGAGAGTTTCAGGTTTGAAGACTTTAGGGTTTATTTCTATTGCACAAAGCGCGCGCAGCGCGCATTAGTGTTTAGGGTTTGAAGGTTTTAGGGTGTATCTCTGGCACGCAGCGCGCACAGCACGCATTAGGGTTTAGGGTTTGGAAGTTTTAGGGTTTATTTTATTGCATGCAGCGCGCACACCGCGGGTTAAACTTTAGGGTTTGGAAGTTGCATAACACGATGGTTTAGGGTTTGGAAATTTTAGGGTTTTCTTCTCTGGGACACAGCGCGCGCACCGCGCATTAGGGTTTAGGGTTTGGAAGTTTTAGGGTTTACTTTATTGCATGCAGCGCGCGCAGCGCGCATAGAGTTTAGGGTTTGGAAGTTTTAGGGTTTCAAGGGTTCCAAGGTTCCAGGGTACCAGGGTCCCACGGTTTCAGGGTTCCAAGGTTTCCAGGGTTCCAAGGGTTCCAAGGGTTCCAGGGTTTCAGGGTTCCAGGATCCCAGCAGGGTGCCAGGTGTGCAGGGTTGCAGGGTTCCAAGGTTCCAGGGTTCCAAGGTAGCAGGGTTCCAGAATCCTTGAGGGTTCCTGGGTGCCAAGGTTCCAAGGTTTCAGGGTTCCAAGGTCGCAGGGTTCCAAGGTTCCAGGGTTGCAGGGTTCCAGGGTTCCGGGGTTCCAGGGTTCCAGGGTTCCAGGGTTCCGGGGTTCCAAGGTTTCAGGGTTCCAGGGTTCCAGGGTTCCAGGGTACCAGGGTCCCACGGTTTCAGGGTTCCAAGGTTTCCAGGGTTCCAAGGGTTCCAAGGGTTCCAAGGGTTCCAAGGGTTCCAAGGGTTCCAGGGTTTCAGGGTTCCCCAGCAGGGTGCCAGGTGTGCAGGGTTGCAGGGTTCCAAGGTTCCAGGGTTCCAAGGTTGCAGGGTTCCAGAATCCTTGAGGGTTCCAGGGTGCCAAGGTTCCAAGGTTTCAGGGTTCCACGGTCGCAGGGTTCCAAGGTTCCAGGGTTTCAGGGTTCCAGGGTTCCGGGGTTCCAGGGTTCCAGGGTTCCAGGGTTCCGGGGTTCCAAGGTTTCAGGGTTCCAGGGTTCCAGGGTTCCAGGGTTCCGGGGTTCCAAGGTTTCAGGGTTCCAGTTCCAGGGTTCCAGGGTTCCAGGGTTCCAGGGTTCCAGGGTTCCATTCCGGATTTTGAAGGCTGCAAGTCCCCGCGAGCCAGCCCCAGCCCTAGAGATTGAAACCCAACAGGCCCTGCTGTTGGGAACTAGCAGCCAACATGTCCGAATCTGTTTAGTAGGACTGGAGACCACGAGTACCACTGCCAGAGGGGTTTTCGGGCCATTCGCTGCGGATTATGTCACAGAATCCCTGTTTTCCCACAATGGGAAGCACTTCTGTGTCCAAAATCACGTTTTTGCCACAATGGCAGCGTTCCTGAGAGTTTGCTTTTGGAGAATATCCTTCTATCTCCCACCGACGTTTCTCAGGAGCCCTGTCATCCTGGTGCGGTTTTCGCATCCTCGTGTTCCTGGCTGTTCCTGCCCTCCATGTTCCCCCTAGGGGGCAAGTGACATAAGCTTCCTCCCCCGTTCCTGGTGGGTTTTCCGGTGATCCGCCTGGCATGACTAGAAGTGCAAGTATGTGCAACCATTGTTGCTATGTCCTAGCCCCCATTATGTGGATAGCTCATCTCCTTTTAGCTTCCACTCTGAAAGCCTATCATGAAATAATTCCTGATAATCTGGTAGGTGGCGATTGAGGGCTAACTCAGGCTGGCAACAGAGCAGGCAAGACCCAGCCCAGCATGCAAATGGGAGCGCATGGGCTTGAATCGGTGTTTGTTGTCACTTGCACCGAGAAGCTCGATGAGGATTTTTTCAAGTGGCTCCTAGAGTTGTACCCCACAACAAAAACATACCCAAACATTCGTCTATTCAGGTACCCCGCCATGACATCTAACATCCGCCTCCCATTCATGGCCACCATAGGTGCTTGTCTGAGGTTTTGTGCATTGCTGCGCAGCGAGCCGCAGCAAAAGCGCAATCAAGCAGTTCCAAAAAAGAGACTGTTTTTTTGCAGGAAATAGGCTTCACAAACATGGGCCCTTGTAATATATATATATATATACGTTATATATAATATTATATATGTTATGTCTATATATACTTATATATATGTGTGTATATGTATATATATATATATATATGTATATATATATATATATATGTATATATATGTATATATATGTATGTATGTATGTATGTATGTACGTACGTACGTATATGTATGTATGTATGTATGTATGTATGTATGTATGTATGTATGTATGTATGTATGTATGTATGTATGTATGTATGTATGTATGTATGTATGTATGTATGTATGTATTTATATATGTGTATATATGTGTATATATATACATATATATGTATGTATTCAATGTGTTTTGGGCTATACCTAATAGCATGACTCCACAGCCAGCATGATCATTGCTAGTGCTGCTTACAGGGACAACCCATGCTGCGGTGCCCTGAATGTATTCATCTGGGTAAATTATAATATTTCACTAACCTGAATTAAGGCCATTTGGGGATGATTCCCCTTACTAACCATGATTCCAGTGAGGTCGCAGTGAGGTCGCTATAATTTACCCAGATTCATCCTCCAGAAGAGGGGATGCTTTCCAAATCCACTTTGCAATTCAGCTCATAAACCCAAGCCAGCAAATCTGCTTGTGAAAGGTGATTCACTTCTAACTCAGCAATCAGTGGCATCATTGGCATCTTTGACCATCGAACACTCCATCGAACACTCCATGGCTTCGACCCCCGCAGCCAGGCGCAGCCAGGCTACTCGCTTGGCAACTGAGGGAAGCAGCTCCAGCGCTCGAGGACGACATGACTCTTCTGCAGCTCAGTGAGGCCTGCCAGGAACTGTTAAACAATCGAATATGTATATTATGTATATTGTATATAATAATTATGTAAATATCTATATAATGCTTATATATATATAAGATATAGATATGTATTCATATGTATGTGTGTGTGTTGCTTGTAGCTAATGTAGTGGGTGCTAAGTGAATCGAAGGTCGTCCGGCCATTTGAACGCAGGTTTATTCTATCGCCAAAGCCCGGTGAACCCCTTTTGTGAGGTAAAGAAAGATACCATGGAGGCGTGAAGAAATCCAGAGAAATTGCAATCATTTGGGGCTTTCCAATCCATGGAATAAACTTGAATAAACCTCCAAATCCTCCATTTTTCAATGGGATTTTCCATGAAAATCATCCTATTGGGGATCCCCAGGGCCTGGCAATGGCACTGCCTCACGGGTCGTCGCATCGCCGTTGTCCACTTCCCGTGAAACGACGCAGCGCGGCCGCACCGCGGCATCTGCGTTGGCAAAAATGGGCGGAACCTCTGGTAAAAACCATTAAAAAGAGATCTTGACCCACAAAAATGGTGGTATAATTTGGATATAAATGGGGATATAATGAGGATGAACTGGATGATACCCTCTGGTAAACCAACCGTTTGCTATGGAAATCACCCTTTTTGAATAGTGATTTGTCATCGAACTACATGGGCCATGACTAAATCATCCAAGTGAACGGTCTCGCAAAATGTTCGTTTACTTGGGGGTAAATCATTCCGTATCCGAAAAAAAGATTGTTGAAAGTATCATATTAATCATATCACAAATCCTATCACTTTACTTTGGTGAAATATCATGAAATATCCCCACTTAATCTATAGTTTAAATTACCAGAGGGTCACAAAATGCGCCTGTGAGGCTCGCCGGCACTCGCTGCTTTGGCGTGACAACCTCTGGGACCTTCACGGTCGACATCAGAGATTTTGCACTGATACCGGGACATGTCCATGCGTGTGATTTACATATGTAATTCTATATTAACATACATAGTAAATTAATGTAATTCTTTACATATGTAATTATATGTTAATTAAATGCACTATGTAATTTATGTAAGTCTCTATTAACATATATACATATTACTAATATGTAATTATAGAATATTATATATAGATATAGAAAATTGTGCGCGTGAGTGATACAACACAACTGATCCTTCTTGCAGGATAATGGAGATGCCATGGAGGATGCTAGTGAACGCCAATGTCGGGCCAATGTTCTCAGGCAGGACAAGATGTTGATATTCCCGGGCGCGTTTAATTATCTATAGTCGGAAATATGCCAGCGACAACAATGACAATATACCATAGTGCTAACAATCGCAAGAATTCAGAATAATGACAATAATAATAATGATAATAGCAATAATATGTAATAATATTATAACGACGATATAATAGAAATGCCCTCCCACAAAGAAAGACCTTCCTTTTGGGAGTCAGACACCCAGCTGGTGACGAAAATGACAGTGGAACCGCCTCTGGCGTCTCACGAATGCGATAGGTGCTGCTGTCCTTCCACCCTGACCATAGGGGGCTGCAGCATTGCTCCGGATGGGATATCCATAAGAGGCCCCTTCAGACTATGCTAAACTGATCCAGGCTGCTAACCAGCTAGGAAAATCCAGTTCAACAATACTCACTATGCATTCACAAGTCATCTGAGATCTATGAGTAGCAACTTTCATGTAGGCAAAGCGTCTAGAAATGTTGCCTGAAACAAAACACATGCAGCTGGCCAAGCTCCAATCCACCCTGCAGTTTCAAGTTTCGTCTCCAAGCCCTTGCTGGTCGCCTTCAACACCAGCAACTTTCAGCACCTCCGAAGCAAACAATCCACAGAAAGGCCGAGAACGTCCAGAGTTCCGCTTTCAACGGTGAGATGCTGTTTAGGAGCTGCAAGTTACATTTGGACCTCACAAACATCCCGGTGAACCCAATTTGGTCATAGAAAACTCCAGTTCAGAAAGGAAAATAATCAAGGCGTCTGCTCTACCAACAGGCTACCAGCCTCAGCTTTCGGCGCCAGCGTTGCGTGGTGCCTGACGTGGCTTCCCAAAGCTGGATGGTGAATGCTGCACTGACCAGCTTCTGTGGGTCTTTGGGTGAAGTTTCACTGCCATGCATATACTGTATAACTATGTATAACATCATGTGTATATAACTTTATATAACATCACTATATATAACTAACAGATGTAACATCATCTAACTTTTAACGATCATATCGTATAGTCCGTATATGTACAGTCATACCGCTCATTCTCCAGTCCGGCGGTCCCCCGACCTTGGACCTTTAAGGTCCACTTTGGGCACTTTGGAGCACTTTGGCAGCTGGATTTTTGAGGGCATCTGGGCGGGAAAAAGACATGTCAGGACCTATCATTCAATATGTTTGAAGATGTGGATGGGGAGATGACAATCACATCTACCAGCTACTACTAGCTGTGATGTGAACTGTCTGTACAGGATTTTGATCCAGAGACATACAGTGCTTCATGGGGATAGGACCAGAATGAGGAAATCATACGCAGCGACAATGGACATTATGCAGTGACAATGCAGTGGCGGCAGCTGTCACATACCACACTTTACTCCCCTATTTCCAAATAAACTCATACGGCTCGTACGGCTCATACGGCCCTTAGTGGAGATGGCGAATTCTATACCCCCCAATGTCCCCCCAACTCGGCTGCCTCGCCCGACAGCGGCAGCGGCAGCGTTTTTCGCTGCCCCGTGGGCCGCGGGCGGCGCAGCTCTGTCGCGCTGCGGGGGCGCAGCAAAGCCATGGAGGAAAAAAACGAAAGGTCGAGTCCAGTTGTGGGGACCAGATTTCTGTTGGAAACTGATGGAAAAATTTACGGAAACGTATCATGGAAAATCCCATGGAAAATCTTAAGGAAAATATTGTAGAATTTCATGGAAAATCATTGAAGATCTATAGCAGTGCTATGAGCAATCAATGGGATCCGTGATGGAACATGCAAGTGTTGGGATGGTGTCGTTCAAATTCAAAATGGGGAGATGGAAAAACATTATCCAAAGCCAGGGTGAAACGCTGAGCCAAGGCCAGCTGTTCGGTACAGCAGGGTTGTTTGAGTTGTGCAACAACTGAGAGCTGCGCCCAAACCATATGGTTTTGGGGACAGAATGATATGAATGACGGACTGCACCAAAATCCCTAATTTAAATCTCCAATTGTTGAAGAAAATAGTTTTTCCACAAATGGAGTATAGCCCAGAGACCATGAGGAAAATGATGATCAACCATGATGCACCATCAAATTTTGGGGATTCTTCCCCAGTTCGACCCCAACTGATGTGTTTTGTTTCCAATTGCCAAGTTCGGGCACCCCGACCGTGGTGATTTGGCAATGAAACCTCCACCATGTTCAGCAGGGATGAAGGCATCTTGACGTCTAAAATGATGGTTCAAAAAATGCATATCATTTTGAATCATTTTAATCACTTCGGATCTCATTTTCCCAAGTACGGATTGAAAACCACAAGCCTTCGACACAACCAACCAAAAAAAAACAGTTGGTTTTTTGGCAGGTTCGTGCCATCTCATTCATCTCGGAAAAATCAGCTGGGTCCTGGGCCGTTGACCCCACAATCGATTATGATAATTAATCCCCATTATATCCAGGGTACAAAAGAATGAGAGTAGAACCACATAAAGCCCCTTACAAACATCAACCAAGTGGCGTCGTTGAAGCCAGCAACAGGATCTGGATACATGATACCAGTAGTACCGCACAAGGCGGTGGCGGACCAAAAATAGGAAACCTATAGGAGAGGTTGGTTGTTACATGGATGGGAGAGCGAATCCAATGATGGACCGACAGGTGGTTGGAGTTGTGTTTTTTGGAGTGGCTGCAGTGGTTGCAGTGGTCACCTCACCGCAACTGCTGGATGTAGCGTGGCGTAGTGCAGTTGTAGTTGTAGCTGTAGTGGAGGTGTAGTTGTCATGTAGTGTAATTAGTGTAGCATTGTTGCAGTTGCAGTTGTGGTGTGGTGTAATATGGTGTAATTAGTGTAGTGCCATGTAGTGTACTGTAGTGTTGTGTACTGTACTGTGGAATAGTGTAGTCTGGTGGAAAGCAGTGCAGTTGTAGAGTTGTAGTGTAGTGTAGTGTAACGTAGTGGCAGTTGTAGTTGCAGCTGTACTTGTACTGGTAGTGTAGTGTAATGTACCTAGTGTAGCGCAGTGTTGTGTAGTGTAGTGTAGTTGTAGTTGCATTTGTAGTTGTAGCGTGCTGCAATGTAATTAGCGTCGTGTCGTGCAATGTAGTGTAACTGTAATTGTAAATGCAGTTGTAGTTGTAGCGGTGGTGGTGGCGGTGGTGGTGGTGGTGGCGGTGGCGGCGGCGGCGGTGGTGGAGGGGGAGGAGTAGGCGGTGTAGTAGTAGAAGTAGAACTAGAAATAGAAATAGAGGGGGAGGAGAAGAAGAAGAAGTAGTAGTAGTAGGAGTAGGAGTAGCTCTGTACTTGTACTAGTACTAGCAGTAGTAATAATAGTAGTAGTAGCAGCAGTAGTAGTAGTAGCAGTAGCAGTAGCAGCAGCAGTAGTAGTAGTAGCAGTAGTAGCAGTAGCAGTAGCAGTAGCAGTAGCAGTAGCAGCAGCAGCAGTAGCAGTAGCAGTAGCAGCAGCAGTAGCAGCAGCAGCAGCAGTAGTAGTTGTGGTAGTGGTAGTGGTAGTGGTAGTAGTAGTTGTAGTAGTAGTAGTAGTAGGAGTAGGACTAGGACTAGGAGTAGGAGTAGGAGTAGGAGTAGGAGGAGTAGGAGTAGGGGTAGGGGTAGGAGTAGGGGTAGGAGTAGGAGTAGGAGTAGGAGTAGGAGTAGTAGTAGTAGTAGTAAAAAAAGTACTAAAAAAAGTAGTAAAAAAAGTAGTAAAAAAAGTAGTAAAAAAAGTAGTAAAAAAAGTAGTAAAAAAAGTAGTAAAAAAAAGTAGTAAAAAAAGTAGTAAAAAAAGTAGCAAAAAAAAGTAGTAAAAGTAGTAAAAGTAGTAAAAGTAGTAAAAGTAGTAAAAAGTAGTAAAAGTAGTAAAAGTAGTAAAAGTAGTAAAAGTAGTAAAAGTAGTAAAAGTAGTAAAAGTAGTAAAAGTAGTAAAAGTAGTAAAAGTAGTAAAAGTAGTAAAAGTAGTAAAAGTAGTAAAAGTAGTAAAAGTAGTAAAAGAGGTAAAAGTAGTAAAAGTAGTAAAAGTAGTAGCAGTAGTAGCAGTAGTAGTAGGAGTAGGAGTAGAAGGAGTAGTAGAAGTAGTAGGAGTATAGTAGTCGTAGTAGTAGTCGTAGTAGTCGTAGTAGTCGTAGTAGTCGTAGTAGTATAGTAGTAGTATAGTAGTAGTCGTAGTACTAGTAGTAGTCGTCGTCGTCGTCGTTTTCGTCGTAGCCGTAGTAGTCGTAGTAACAGTCGTAGTAGTCGTAGTAGTAGTCGTCGTAGTAGTCGTAGCAGTCGTAGTATTCGTCGTAGTCGTAGTAGTAGTAGTAGTAGTAGTAGTAGTAGTAGTAGTATAGTAGTAGTAGTAGTAGTAGTCGTCGTCGTCGTCGTCGTCGTAGCAGTAGCAGTAGCAGTAGCAGTAGCAGTCGTAGTCGTAGTCGTAGTCGTAGTCGTAGTCGTAGTGGTGGTTGTTGTTGTTGTTGTTGTTGTTGTCGTGGTGCTGTGCTGTGCTGCGGTGTAGGGTAGCGTAGCGTAGCGTAGCGTAGCGTATCGTAGCGTTGCGTTGCGTTGCGTTGTGTTGTGTTGTGTTGTGTTGTGTTGTGTTGTGTTGTGTGGTGTTGTGTGGTGTTGTGTTGTGTAGTGTCGTGTCGTGTGGTGTGGTGTGGTGCAGTGTGGTGTGGTGTAGCGTAGTGTAGTGTAGTGTAGTGTCGTGCCGTGTATATTGTGTGGTGTCGTGTCGTGTCGTGTAGTGTAGTGTAGTGTGATGAGATGTAATTAGTATAGTGTAGTGTAGCGTAGTTAATTAGATGCAATTAGTGTAGTGTAGTGTAATGTAGCCTGGTAAATTTGTAGTTGTAGTACGTTGTGTAGTGTGGTGTGTGGTACTTGTAGTTGTAGTTGTAGCCGTAGCTGTCGATCTATCTGTCTATCTGCAAGCTTGAAAACGAAGCTATTCTGCGAGACTTCGTCAATTTTTGAGCTTGACAACATCAAACGCGGCAATTCTGCGAGACTTCCTACTATTGAACTTCATAACGTCAAAACGAAGCAAGTCTGCGAGACCTCCTCAATTTTTGAAGTTGGCAACATCAAAAACGAAGCAATTCTCCGAGACTTCCTTCAATAATGGAAAGTTAAGTGCAGAGCTGACGGCCTTGTGCCAATGCGTTTTGCGATGTTTCCGGTCCATGTGTCTAAAGTATTGCGCCTGCCACGAAAAAGTGAGGCCAGGTCATACGAAGTGCGGCACCTGTCACACAAAATCATCTTACCAAAACTGAAGATCTGATGCTCCAAAATGCAGCCCCTCTCAGAAAATCAACGCCCGGACCTCCTAACATCTCTGATGAACATGTCTCCTGTACTGCGCCCGCCACGCGAAATGCATCTTTCCAGATCCTCATCCAACGTCCCACGCCTGCCATTGTTTTTGGAAATGCTACAAAACCCTCACGCTTTGCTCACTTTAGGTGCCGAATCCCTTGCGCCTGCCACGCAAAACCACATCTGAACTTTCAAAAAGTGATCCGAGCATGCGGTGCTTTTAACATTTTGACTTGGAAACGTGCTTCGCGCCATCACAGCGTGCACTTTTTCGACATCTCAACTTCCAAAAATGCTTCGAAGCTAGTGTGCTTTGTTGATTTTGACTTCGACATGTGCTTCGCGCCACAGTGGCGTAACTTGTTCGTCATGTAAACTTCCAAAAGTGGCCCGAACCCATTGGAAAAACACAGTGAATCGCGACTTTCCTACCTTTTCGCTTACCTGGATCTTCTTTCCTCTGACTCTTTCTCTTCTCTTCTCTTCTCTGACTCTTCCTACCTCTGCTTTTCCATCTGTCCTTTTGTCGGAAGTTTGACTTCTAAACTTCCGTCGCGTAGACAATAATGGTTCGCAAAACTAAGAAAAGCGCAGCTATTTTGGGATAGTTACCCCAATCCTAACCATCATTCGTTGCCACATGTTTCGCTGTCAGCTGCCGCCTGTCACCACCTCAGGCACCATCAAAGCTGCCAGTGACCGCATGGCTCATGGACAAAGACTACAACAAAAATAAACCAAATATAGCCAAATATGGATATTCTTCAGAAATCGGGATACAAAAAAAAACTCCCAAATCTGATTCAGTCTCAAACCCTCCAAGATCCTCCAGATTCAAACCTAGAGTCAAAACTGGTGGCGTTCAGTTTCAAACTCTGCAGATCCCAGACCCAAAATTTTCCACTTTCCGCCATGACACCGATGGAGCCGGCCAGCACACCGGCGGCGTCATCGACCCGGAGACCGGTGCGCCAATCCCAACAGCGGCACTCGGGACGTACTTGACATAGCCTCAGGGGGCTTGGGAGTGCAGTTGGCGTTAGTTTAATGATTATATATATGGGGGGGTGGGCCAGGGATCCGGGATCCGGACTCATATATACTGGCATTTAGTGGGATTTAACAAGGATTTAATGGCATTTAATGGGATTTAGTGGGCGTAACTATGGTCACACTCCCATCAAGTTGGGATATAAACCCTATATTTCTGGCCATCTCACCAACTGAGTGGAACTGCAACCCCAAGGAGGTCACTTGACCACGCCTCCCCATCCTTTCCAAGTGAAACCGTGGTTTACAGCTTAGATTGATGCACAAGGTTGGTTATATAAGTTACATCTTATTGGGTGCTTCACCCTCTATCTCTGTCAGGGGGTCGGGGCTATATATAAACTGGCGGGAGCTATATGGAGCTATATGGAGCTATATGGAGCTATATGGAGCTATATGGAGCTATATATAAAGTCGTCGGCACTATATGTAGAAAGTTAAACAATGGGGAGCTATAGACAAAAATTCAACCCTCAAAACCGCCTTGTTGAATGTTACTTTTGGGATCATATGCTGCCTAGTATTCAACTACATCCTCAGAGACCAGTCAATGAATCTACCATAGTCATCATCGCAACGCTTTGACCGCCCCAAAACGCGAAAGTGGTATCCTAGTACTGGCATTGCATACCTGCTGCAGGCACCGCTTTCTCAGTCATGTAATTTGAAATATTTGGCAGGTTCTTGCAAAGTTCATAGTTAATAGTGCGACGCGATGCCGTGTGTAGCTTGCGCCCGGGTGATTTTGATGAAACTTGTTTTGACCAAGGCCTATGCCTTCAAGATCAAGGCATCCATGCCGTGCATCATGACAAGCAATCAATATCAAGATTCACTGGAGTTGACACTGTGCTTGGTGGTGTTCTTCTCGTCTTTAGAAAGCAGCTGGGCTGATATAGATGGCACGGCAGTGCTCAAGGCTTTTTAAAGATGTGGCCTTCAAGTAGGTGGCTGGGGGCTCTTTGCAAAAGCGGGTTTACATATAGCCTGGAACGGTTCCTGACTATATTTTTTTTAAACAAGTTTATAGATAGTCAGGAACGGTTCTGAACGGTTCCTGACTATATTCTGAACGGTTCCTGACTCTATATATATATATATACACGAGTTTTATATATAGTCAGGAGCGGATCCTGACTATATATACCTGGGACTATCTGGGACTAATTATGTATAGTCAGGAACGGTTCGGAACGGTTCCTGACTATATAAAAAAATAATATAGTCAGGAACGGTTCCGAAATATATATATATATAACCCAGCGGCTTTTATCAGGAGCGGTTCCTGACTATATTTAAAGAAATGTGTTTTGGGGTGCTCTTTCCATGTGTGCAGCATCGTCATCGCCATCGTCATCGTCGTCATCTTCATCATCATCACCATCATCATCATCATCATCATCATCAACACGGTTCTGAACGGTTCTTGAGAACTGGTCTTGACTATGTAAACCGAACTTTAATTTAGCCCGGAGCGGTTCCTGGCGGTATCAATGCAAAATCAGGGTTTATGGAACGGGCTCTTGGCTATCTAAGGGAGGCGGGCCGCTTTAGTCCAGGATGAGGGCGGCTAGGATTACGGTTGCAGGCCAAACCGTTCTGGGCCACCGCCATATTAGCAAGCGTGCTTCGGCAGGAGGACCAGGGTCAAACCCGAGCGTCTGCGTTAACACAGCCTTGGAACCGTTTCAAAAGGTGTATATTCAGCAGCCTTAAAAATAGCTCTAAGACTAAAAACGCGCCCCGTGGGGACTATTGGCGCTATATAAAAACATGGCGGAACTATATATAAAAAAGGCGGAGCTATATCTAAAAATCGAGAACGGGGCAACTCACAAAATCGCCCAGGCAAAATGCAGGGGCTGTCTTTCTCGTGAAAGAAACATGCGTATTGCGCGCGCACCACTTTTTAAGGAGATGTTCAAGGCTGCTCCTCTTAGCGCCTGACCTCACAACAACAACCTGAAGGAAAATGCAAAATCTTGGAGGCAGCATCCTTCATAGATCTCCACAGTCCTCTGATCTTACAATGCGATATCATCAAGCCCATCCACTAGCCGAACCATGTCCAACCCAGCCTAGGCTAAGTTAATCACCGTCTGCGTGCACCCGGATGCTCTCAAAAGTTAGCAGATTCTTACACGTTCAACCAAGACATTGATCGCACCGTATTCCTCGAGTATTCTGGGCTAAAACCCTTCCGAAATCCCCTAAGAACAAATGGCGACATAGGATTCCCCACATAGGATGCCCCCACGCAAGTGCGCTTGAATGCTCTTCGCAAAACCCGAAGCACTATCAGCACGCAAATGGTCGCACACGGCAATGTCTGGCTTTTGTTCAGCCGCACACTGCGATCGCTCTTTGGGGGAATCAGTATATGATTTGAGCGTGATAGGGCCGCTATGACTCAGCGGAAAGATTGCACAAATCAAAGCAATTGCAGCAAGTGCTTGCATGCCACAGTCACATTCGCTTTGAACAGTTTCTGCACTTTTTTCCTTAGACTGGGATAGGATATATACATTCTTCCGAGAAAGAAAAGCAACAAAATCCAAAGTCTTGGGTTCAATTTTTTGGTGCCCTTTTTCTTGCGGCTAGTGGTACGTTTCTCCTTGCTTCATGCCAGAATGGGGCGACCCAACATCATCCTGCAGGTCTTTCCATGTTGGGACTTGTGGTCTGGCGCCGTGCATAATTTGTAACATGGTCTAAGGAAACAGACATAAGAGTTATTTGAAAATACATTGTTTTTGGTATTTTTTTTTGGTTGGCAAATGTTCTTGACATTGTGAGAGGAGGCCCCGCAGGAATGCTTCTGGCTGGGGACGCGCAGGGGGCTTCATCTGAGCAATGCAGTAATGCATGATTCGTGTTGCAATGCTACGCTACTAGTGATTAGCTTGTTCAGAGTCGGGCTTCTGCAGCAAGATAAGATTGTAACTGGGGAAGTGCCTTTATTATAGCTTAAAATGTACCTGACAACCCCATAATCAGACCCCAGAAGGTTATATATATATATAGATAGATAGATCCTACAAGTTTGTATACAGTCCTACCCTAGAAGGTTTATATATATATATAATTATAGTTCCTATTATAAGACCCCAAAAATGTACATATATATATATATATATAGATCCTGCAAGTTTATATATTGTCCCTAGAAGATTTATAGAAGATATATATATATATATATGATATATATATATATGATATATATATATATAGTTCCTATTGTTTCACAGACAAGCCCAAATAAAGAGGGAAGCGCACCCTCTAAGTTACATCTCTGAAATTTGACACACAACTCGGAAATCCATGTCAACTGGGTAGTTCAATGATTCGGCTGCAGCATGGCCGGCATTCCAAATGGCCCCACTCGCCTTGCCAACTGACCTTGGAGCCGCTTGACCCTGGGATTTGTGTAGGAACTTCAACTCAGCAACTATCATCCAATTCATGATGCAAGTCAGTTGATCTGGTGGTTTCAACCCTGAAAAAATTGAGCCTTGGGAAATCATCATCCCATTTCTATCCATTTCTATGGTTGAAAATGAAAAATACTTGAAACCACTAACCAGCTATTGCGTGTTTTTTTGCAAAGAATCAGGCATTCATCCATACAATCACCACATTGGCAGCCCCTTGCTTCCTCACAGCACTAAGGCCCCTGCTTGCTGCATCGGTGGCGTCAAGCTCCCACACTGCGGGTATGACATTTTTGCGATCTGATCGTAGACTTGTGAACTCTGGATCATCTACTTGTGTTGGGTTGGGCTACTTGGTGAGTTCAACAAACCAAGATGATGTTCTTTGTTTTCTAGCTGGTAGGACGGTCGCACATAACCCTGCACCCGGGGTCTTGATGATATCTCGCTGCCGCATGTTCGAACTTAGGATCCACCAGCCCTGGATTCACAAAAAATGTCCCTCTTCCAGAACTGTTGATTTTTTGTGCCTCTCATCCACTGTAACTCTAGATATTGTTGATGTTGCCTACAAGCGACAAGCCTACTGAACCCCAAGCTGTTGTCTGCGGGAGGGCGAAGGTCACGTGATCACTGCATGAATTTTGAGGATTGGTAAGGTTGGATGTCCAAATGATGACTTGTTGGCGGAAGATTCCTCGAACCCAAGGATTTTCGTTGTAGACCCCAATAGTACTCACATCTGTGAACTCCCTCCATCATCCACTGGACTCTGAATCAGGTACTATGTACTAGGTAGTTCCAATCACTTGTCTTTGGGAAGTCAGGTATTCACAAATGACATTCCAACCTCGCAAATCTCTCCAATTGTTTTGGGGCATCAGTTCCCAAGTCTTCCAACAATGGTTTTTGACGATAGCTTCATCCATAAATCTCAAATATATACCTCCCTTGCGCCCTTTGCTAATGCACCACATCAAGAATGGAGAGAGTCTAAGAGTAATTTAATCATTGTTGCGTACCATCAGCACTACTGGAAAAATGGTCCTGTTCTTGCTATTGGTGTTGCTGTTGATTCTATCGTTGCTTTATTCCAAGGTATGTGAGCAAATTTCGCTAAATACACAAGTTGCCAACGCGTCACTCCCTCAATGGTGAACAGGACATTGGATGCGGCTCTGCAAGCCATTCAACGGTGCACAACAGAAATTCAGCGTGATACCACAGATATGTTGAGTATAATCCTCTGCGTTGTTGCAGTTCATGATAGTTTGTCTGGACATAGATAGACTTCAACCGCAATCCAAAGCATCAACGTGACAAACGTCGTACACTCCGGCAATGTCGCACCAATAGTGGCCCCTGATTTCTGCATCCATCCAGTTTCACTTACCCCTGATTTCTGGAAGCTTCATTCGCCATTCCAGAAAAACTAAAATGATCTAAATTGGCGTCATGGTCTCATGATGACGGCCTGCACAGGGCACAACAGGGCCGAGTTCACACGGACTTCATAGGGATGAGGTGCCATTGAGCAAAATGCTTTTCAGCCCGTTGCAAGAAGGCAGTGAGGAGGGAGGTTTGCTGTTTTCCAGTGAATGTAGTTTCGAGATTCAACCACTCAAGTCCCACCCTATTGAGTGGTTGCTTTGTCTGTCCTAATCATCCAATGCTACATGTGTCTAGGTACCATCACAAAGGGACACTAGGGATACTAGCAACTGATGCAAAAAGTGACCAGCTTCTCTGGTCCAGGGATGTCAACCGCCCCAATCACAAGGCTTGGGGCTTCGGGCCTCTGGCGCTGATTCAAGCATACCTGGCGCCGTCTGACGGCTGGCGGCACATCTTCTATTCTGCAGGAATTTCTCCGAAACCTTGCCTTTCACCGATGAATTCTAGGTGTGCTTCAATCAACTTCAAAAATCCATTGGGGAGTAATCTCTGGTCATCAAACATTGCTTGCTGTGAAATCCATCATTGTATACTTGATTTTCCCAGCTAGAAACCTTCATTATATAGAAAAAAAACACTTGCCATGTTTGATTGCAGGAGGGGATTTCCATGGATTTCCCCTGATTTCTGGTTCACTGTGGGATTTTTCCCAGCTCGAATCCTCCACTTTCGGATCTGCTTCGCCAAGCCTCCGTTTGGTGCACTCCGCAGCCTGATGGGGCTCGCCGGATCACACGCAAAGCACAGCACGGCCGTTTTTGGGGGGACCGCAAGCATGCAAAAAATGGGGAAAAGCATTCAGAAATGGGACATGTTTATGGAATTTTCTGGCATTTCAGAAAAAATTCATGGAAGTACACCAACAAACAAACAAAATTCGAAATTTTGGGGAGATGTGACAAGAATAATCAAAAATGGTGGTTGCCTTCTGTGTACAATTTCAAGGCCAGTCCAGTCAGTTTTTCCCTTGCCTCGCCATCGACAGAAGGGCAGCTGCGCTTCACTGAGGATGTGTCCTGTGGAACGACGCCAACCTGCAATAGGTAGAATTAAAAACTGCATGGCCAACCATCTGGGAAACTGTAACTTGACAATTTGGTCTTCATAGCAGTTCTACCTGTACTTCACAAGTAGGGTTGGGCTTTTGCCTGCAAGCGTGTCTTGTCGCAATCCACTTGCACATTACATTGACCTGGTTTTGCTCCAACGTGACATCTCTTGGCCAAGTCCTTCGGTCGGGGTGCTTGAACCTTGAGTATGCTGAGACATGCACTACAGTGCAAGTCAATACCACCCAGACAGCAGGACAGTTATTGAGAGCTGAAGCCACCTTTGGGGCATGCTGTCTCTGAGTTGTATCTGAAGTGCGAAGGCTTTGTGCTACCACAGTCTGCTTTCCTCCAAGAACGGACGTATGAGCTGTGTGAGGGTCATCTGCCATTGGATTTCTCCACGGATTGGGTCCCTTTGACTGTGGTCTTTCTTGGACATGTGTCCGTTCTGTGGTCGCCTCCGTGTCTTAGCTATCGACAGCTTTTGGAATGGGCGGGCATTTTCCAGTTTGATTCCTTGATCGATGAGAATTCTGATTCTCTTCTTTTGGACGGTCGAGTAGTTCCATGGAAAACTGTCATAGTTCAACAGCATCCGGCTGACGTCGCTTTTGAATTGGACTTGTTGGAAGGTTTCGGAAGCGATCAAGATGCCATTCCCTATGGACTTCTGCGTACGACCGAGTCTTGGATTTGTACCGGTCTCTGGCATCTTGATCAGATCATCAAATCACAACTTCTTTCCACTTGGTCCGGATTGGGTTTTGGATCCTTGACTGTTTTGGTTGCCATCGTTTGCGGATGCGGTCTTGGAATTGTGGCCGAGCTCGATCAATGAGAAAATTCAGGTGTGGATTGAACACCAAGATGCCCAATTGCATGCATTTGTATACGAATCATGGGGATGGAGTTTGGTTCATTTCAGTTTGCTTCCGGAAGCAGCTCCCAAAAGTCTCCCCATGCACAGCTTGAAAGTTCCTGCGATTTATCGGGGAACCAATGAGCCGATCCTTGTTGATTGCACCACCATTCAACTCGGTGACCAGGCCATTTACCAAAAGCAGAACCAAATGGCACCCGAAATTGCTGTATTTCCCACTGCTGTTTTTCGTGTGCATGTGTTCCGTGACCTGTGGGAGCATGAACATGTCTGGGAGGATCTTGTGTCGCGTCCTGTCAAGTCCTTGGTTAACACTTTTGATATCCTGCGTCTTTGCAAAGACCCTGATTGTCAGGGATTGTGCGGAAAATGTCATCCATCCTGCGAGGAAGATGGGGTTAATCGGGTCTGTTAGACATTTGGGCATTCAACTGGCATACGTTGGATGGAGCCAAGATCGCCCTGCCGAAAGCGGATGTTTTGTCCGTTTACTTCAGGGTTCCTGAGTCCAGTTTTGCCAGTCTGCATGTGTTGTCCGGCACCTCTGGGGTCTTCTTTGAGCCTAGACATAGTGAGCAGCCAGGACCAGATCCTAGATATGCAGTTGTTTGGATGGCGCCGTGCACCTTAGCTGAAGTCATGCATCGTGTCAAAACGGTTGATGAAGGTCTTGCAGCATGTCGCCTGGGAACCAAATATGGGACAAGGTGCCTTGTAAAGGACCATGAGGCGTTACATCAAGCCATTTAATTTGCCCCAATATGCCTTTTGTGAAGTGCAATATCAAGTACATCTTTCGTTTGGAGCCATTACCAGCCGCAACTCAGCGACAGAGCCTGGTTGAAATCCTGCAGTCAATCGACTGGGTTGCAAAGCCACTGCAACCATGCAAAGGATCACAAGGCAAGGCTTGGACCGTGGGGTCTGAAACGTTACCCCCCAAGCCTTTCATTGAAGCACAGCACGGTTGGATCAGCGTCACCAAGGTGAAAGATCAAACACAGCCGGCCAAGCCGAAAGATTTGATTGCCACAGTCCGCACAAAGCAGCACATGAAGGATGCCTCCAGCAGTTCCAATGCCCAGCCTGCAACAGACCCATGGCATGCGGGTCAAGATCCGTGGGCCAACTACACGGGGAAAAGCCAGCCAGCTCCTGTTTCGCAACATGTGCAACATAAGATCGACGATGTTGGACAGAAGTTGACAGATATAGTTCAGGCTACTATCGATGAAAAAGTCATGAAGCTCCAAGGTGATTCCCAGGCCAGGGAACGACTGACTTCAGTCGAACAGCAGATCCAAAGCATCATGACTACTCAGCACAAGCTTGAACATCGAATTGTCGACAACAGTTCCAAAGTAGCCGAATTGCAGTCAGATCAAGCCCAATTGCATCAGGCAGTCCAGCAATGTCAACAGAAGGTCCAAGAACAGGGGCAAGCCTTGCATCATGTGGCCCAGGAGGTGTCAGCCTGTACTAGTAACTAGTACTTTGTCGAGTCAGGGTCACACCCTTCAGCAGGTTGCCACAGAAGTCACGGGCATCCAGAGAGGCCTTGCATCCCAGCTGGAGAGTTACTTCCCGGACCAGACTGTGGACTTTCCGTGTCTGATCATGAGCCTGACTCCTTTGCGGACCCCCCACAATGGTCATTGCCCGTTGTTCCCACCTTTTGTTCGGGCACTGGAAATCCATCAGGAATCAGCAGCAAGCTGCACACGCTTGATAGTTTTCCCATTGGATTTTGGCACTTTGCGGAAACACAGGCTTCAAAACAGCAGCAATGCGTGTTCCAAAGCTACCTGCGTAGCCTGTCTTGGCGTTCCAACCGCAACTTGCGCAGTTGTATGGGTGCACCTGCTTCATTGCGTGCTGGCTCTTCTGCTGCGGGCACATGGACCGGTGTTCTGAGTTTTGGCGATTGTCCCTTGCGGCAAGTTCCATGCGTTTGGCCTTCTGGTGAATACAGTAGTGGGCGAGTCATGACCACTGTTGGGCAGATTGGTAATCTCCAGCTTACAGCTGCCATCGTGTACTGTCCGGCAAAGGGCCTAACGTTCCCAAATGCTAGAGCCTTGTCAGAAGATTTGCTGCTCTCTGTCACTGAGAATCTGGTTTTCGGCCCTGGGGGACCCAGGGTCATCCTGGGCGACTTCAACTGCCCAGCGGGCCACCTCCAACAGATGCAGATTTGGCAAGCGCAAGGCTGGGTCGAATTGCAGGAGTACATGTACCATACTCATGGCATTGTTCCTCGCCCCACTTGTAAGGGTGCAACCAGCCCTGACCAAATTTGGTTGTCACCTGAGTTGCTTGGTTTTGTCAGCAATGTCTCTGTTTGGAATATTTATCCAGACCATGCCATGCTCATAGCGGGCCTCCATGCGCCGTCTATGCCGGTTGTTGAGAATCAATGGCATCTTCCAGGCCACACCCCTTGGACTTTTGTGGATAAAATTACATGGGAAGATGAATCTGACATTGGGCCCATCCTTGATGTAAGTAGTCGGCTTGCGGGTAGCCACAGCTTACCTTTGGACAGTCATTTGGATTTTCCGTCCATCAGTCAGTCAACTTCCACACATGCCTTTAGGGACTGGAGCCGCGAATTTGAGGTGAAAGTGACACAGCGCACCAGCACGGAGACAATTCGAGCAGACAGAAGTTTCTTCGGCAGAGGCAGGCTCACCAAACCTAGGCCAAGAAGACAAAACCATCAGGTTCCAAAGCACAGCCGCCAAGGAGAGGTTGAATAAACATGTGGATTTCTCAATCGTGCCAGTGCCAACTGGTTCAAACAGTTGCGACGTCTTCAATCATATCGGCATGCCGCAAACTCAGCCAGAGTACCCGACAACTATCATTCTAGAGCGGCCCTTTGGAATGCAATCTTGCGTGCCCCTGGTTTCTTGGGAGGTTTGTCAGATGGTGGCCCACATCAGCACCCGGAGGTTCCGCTCCTCCTTCCCCTGCATCCACCCAGTGCTCAGGTCATCCAATGGATTTATGATGACTTCCATCATAACTATCGGTGCTTTGAACAATACCAGTGGCGTAAGAGACGCGAAAGTTGCAGGGCCAAGTTGCTCTCAACATCAAAAGGCCTCTATGCCATTACACGCAAGACTGCAAAATATGCTTTGGACTGTTTGGAAGACACAGCGTCTCAGCCAATTACTGTTTTGGACTCGGCAACTGGGCTCATTTCGGTTCCTACACCTTTCCCCGACAACAATGTCATCAGCTGGTCGCTTCAGTCTCAGCCTGCTTGTGTGAAAGTGGTGGAAGATAGGTATCAGGTCAATAGCGACATGTTGTTGGTGACTGGTCAAATGATTGCGTGTACCACACTTGTGCATGAACCTGCCGAGATTCATCTGCGGCTATCTCAACTGTGGACTCCACGTTGGACGAAGCATGCCAATGTACCACATAGCCAATGGGATCAAATCAAGGCCTTTGCTGCAGCTCACCTACACAGAGGCCAGATCTCACTTCCTCCGCTTAGCATTTCAGATTGGAGACGGGCTGCCCATTCTTTCAAAACAAATGCTGCGACTGGACCTTGCGGTTGGTCACGAGCGGATATGTTGAACATGGCCGACCACCATGTGCAAGCGGTTTTGGACTTATTCACCGCACTTGAGAGCGGAGCAGCTTGGCCACAGCAGTTGAGTGTGGGGCTTATCCACTGCCTCCAAAAAAGCGAAGATAATGTGACTGCCAATGGATTTCGGCCCATCACAGTCATGAGCATGTGGTACCGTGTTTATGCAAGTTTGAGGTCAGGTCAGATTTTAGCACAGCTGGCCACCTGGTCAGATTTCATGCAATCCGGCTTCCTTAAAAAACGGCAATCATCGGATGTCTGGTATTTTGTTGGAATCTGTTTGGAAGTCTCCTTTTAGAGCGGTTTGGCCGTCCATGTTTTGGTTGCTGATTTGGTTAAAGTGCCAGCTTGGTTTTTGCACATGTGGGCTTCACATCTGTCAGTGTTTACCAGGTACTTTGTGGTTCGTCGAGTCACGGGACATGCCATTCGTTCTTGCACCGGTTTTCCAGAGGGTTACCCTTTTGCTTGTGTTGCGATGACTGCGGTGTGGGGCATGGCAACAGGTTCACACACCACGCATGTTGCCTCTCAGTTATGTCGATAACTTTGAGTTGTTGTGCGATCGTATCCCAGATCTCGATGCCAGCGCTTCTCAGCTTGACCGCTTTTGCCATCTTTTGGACTTGCAAGTTGATAAAGCATGCCTGTATGCTTGGTCTTCGGAGTCTGCAGGGCGTCGTGAACTTAAACATAAGGGGTATAAGATAAGCCTGGGTAATAGAGACCTTGGGGGACAGGTAACCTACTGCAAGCAGCTGCGCAATCAGGTCATGACGGATCGAAGTGCATCCATTCACCCTTTGTTTGACAAACTGCGGAAGTCAAATTTGCCGGTTGGAGTCAAGAAGCTCAACATCCAACAATGTTTGCTGCCAAGAGCTTTTCGACAAGCTGCGGGCAGGAGTAATGCGTGCAATGACTTGGAATCATGCTGGTGCCTCACCGCTGGCAAGAATTTCGTTGCTGGAATTGAAGCTGGACCCAGAATGGCATCAACTTTTTCATTTTGTCAAGATGTTCAGACACCAATACCGATCGAATCAGATTGTTCTGGACTGGTGGAAGCTCTACTATACTGCTGATTCAGGAGAAAATACCCATGGCCCATTTGGTAAACTCAGTGCCTTGTTACATGAACTAGGACTACAGATCAATGAAGATTGTCGCCTCTGGTTTTCAAGCAATGGGTTCATCAATGCATTACATTGTTCTGAGACAGTTCTGGAATGGGTTCCAGACAGTTTCGCAATGCCAAAGCTGCGCAGCTGTCCAAGCGCGAGGGTTTTCAGGGCTTGGAGAATGGTTGCGATGTGGGCCTTACGCTCAGCAATGACCACAGTTTCAACACTGCGGAGCTTGGAAAGCTGATGGTTGTGAGAAGTGGAGCTTTCATCACTGATGATGCAAAGTCAAAGTGTGACACCAGGCGATCACCACTTTGCCTTTCATGACACTCGAGAGCACAAACTGACTTGCTGCAGTAAATATGACTCCATTCGCGGGTCGTTTTCAGCCTTGTTTCCAGAATGAGAGACTTACCCGAAGTGCTTCCAAATGCATGGGATTGTCCCCGACAAGCCTTGGCTGCTGTTGGTGTGGGAGGCCCATGATAGTGCTACCATCCAAGTTGACGGATTTCCAGTTCAGCGCTACGGGAACTACGCTGCATTGCTTCACAGATGGAACGGCTGCAGATCCTTGCAACCCACCCAGAAGAGTCTCTTGCTGCATGGTCCGTCGCGGACGCTGTACAAGGACCATTATCCTGGGGACCTCTGCCGGGTATACAACAGACGGTGCCACGAGCGGAAGCATTTGCAGTACTCAGCGTCATGCATTGGATCGTCGCTTTTGAAGGCCCGGTGCATCTTTGGGTCGACAATCAGGGAGTTGTTGACCACGTGCGTGACATTTTGAGAGGTTTTCAATCCATCGGACGTTGAACACGCTGATCTCTGGACTGAAATTGCAAACGGTATGAAAGCCACTCCTGCAGACATCAAAGTACACAAAGTAGCCATGCGAAACACCAATCGAAGACTTTGCCAGAGAATGGAACAACTATGCGGATCGACAGGCCGCTTTCGCCAATCAATTCAGACCTCATTTCTTTGAGACGCTCTGGAGGAAACATAGGGAATACAGACAGCTTTGGAAACGAAGAGCTGAACACATGACCCAATTTCAGAAGGCAATAGCCGACCAAGATTGCTGCGATGCAAACGACAGAGACCAAGAGGTTGAGCAAGAAGTTTCACAGATTGAATTCGTTTGGTCCCCAAATCCGGCTCGATTAGCCGATCAACTGGAGCCGTGGGTTGACAATGAAGCTTTGTTTTCGCATCACCACGATTCACATTTCAGATCCATGTCAGCACAGTTTATTCATTGGATCATTGTACAGGAATCATCGGCCTCACACATGAGGAATGTCAGTTTGATTGAGCTTTTTGTGGCTTTTCGTTTGTCTAGGCCAGGTTGTGAACCGGTTGTCAAGAGTGATGGCTTGAGTAAATACTCAGTTGTGACCTTCGCTGCTGATTTTACTTATTTCAAGACTATTGTTAGGAATTTGTTTCAGGTAGCTGACATTCCGTGGGGGGAGACAGTGGTGTTAGCTGGCGTCGGCATTGTTGCCCCGCAATTTGGAGTGCAGTGCGGCTGGCCTGCAGATATTTCTAGTCGCACATTGAGTGCAATTCGCGATTTTGTGGGAGCGCGACCCATTGTGAGCTCACAATCTTTGGCCAAACCATGGCATCCATGCATGCAGGCGGATTAGGTCTCACGGCCAACAGACAGAACTGTTCGGCCTGCGTCAGCCGCCCGACAGACTTCCCAGCCGTGCGCAATACGGATTTTGTTTACAGGAAACCAAGGTTTTAACCCATCAATGGTTTCAGGTTTTCCTGTCAGTTCTACCATAAACCAAACCGTGGACCCAGCAGTTCTCCTGTGACTGCGCAGCTTCCAGGGCTCTTTGTTCCCAATGGTCCATCCGACCCATTGAGTGCAGGCTGTCAGGGGCCTTGCACTGAGAAAAGGAGTCTTTCAAAAACCTGGGCCTTGAATCATCTTGAATCCACACCTTGTTGATATATGATTTAATGTGATATAAAAAGTCCCACTTGCCAAAGATTTGTCTTTGCATCAAATCCCCCTTTGATAGCCCAAATGATCTACGTATATGATATATATATATAAATATATATATATATTGGCATATGATGGCATAGCTTACCACACAAAAGCCCAACAAATACTTCGCCTCAAAATCTGGGTATGCCTGGGTCAACGTGCAGTACACCTAGTCTGAACAAGGCGGGATCATCCAAAGAACTCCCCGAGTAACTATGATAAATGATACTGGTTGGTGGTTTTAACCATCTTGAAAAATATTAGTCAATGGGAAGGATTATTCCATATATTATGGAAAATAAAAAATGTTCCAAACCACCAACCAGGATAACTATGGAAATCACACTGCTCTCTGTGTCAAGCAGCTCACAGCTTTTTGACTTTCGAATATCTGCGAGGCATTCCTGTCGAAACATTCCTGTCCACATCAACATACCTGCACTCCATGGGGTCCTTTAAAAGACCGACTTCTCGGAATTCCTTGACACATCGCTCTATGAATCGCTTGCCGTTTCCATTAAAATGCAGAAGTTTGGGGATGTCGAAACCAAGGCGTGGCAGGAGTCTTGGAGCTAAGAAGTGCTCGAATTTTGAAGAGTTCCGAACCTTTAAGGAGTTCGGATTCCGCGCTGCAAAGTAGTTCCCTTGACACAGGGGTCGTTCCAAGTCAAACTTGGTATGACCATGAAGGCTCAAAAAAAGCTGAGCATCTTTGTCCACAAATCCCAAGTATGGAAAGCGTAATAAGAGCAAAGGAATCATTGCCTGATCGTCTGTCTCTGCCGTTCTTGAGACGAGTAGGAACATCTCATCTAACAATCGGCGCAAGGAACTAACTTTGCCAACAAAGGTGCCTGCACAAGGAAAGGGGAAATGCCTCCTCCTCTTAAGTTTCTTTCTTTGGCCAAAGCCAACTGAGCCAACTGTTGGACGTTTTTCCGGAGCCGGAGCATCAGCAGCAGTACTGTGTTCTGCTAGCCACTCTTGACATACCTGAGCACCAGAGATCTCACCCGTTGCACCTGGATATCGCCAAGTCTTGTGATACTGGCCATCAGAAAGTGCTGCTCTCCGTGGGATTCGATGGACCCAGGATCGATTCGCGCCAGCGCGAGGCGGAACACGGATCCACCCGTATTCGTGCGGGTGCGGGAAGGGGTAGCAATTGAGCTCCCCACCAAAGATCACTGGCCAGTGACCATACTTTTCCCAATGAGTTTGTGCAAGTTCATGGTATTTGTCCATGAAATCATTCAAATGTCGCTGGAAGAGCACATCAAATGCGTCCACAACAATGATTGTATCATTGGCTGGTAAGCCCTCAATCGCTCGATAGAGAAACAGGTGCTTCTTGAGCAGTAAAAACTCATCTCTAAACGGCGACAGGTTCCGGTCCTTGGGTTTCTTTGATTTTACGTCTTTGAAGAATGCCTCTTCCTTTCCACCGTCTCGAAGACCCATGACATGCAAGAGACCCCCTGACACCTCCAGCGTGCGTGCCAAGTGGCACAGCATGGGATGAAACGTATCTGCATATGCGAAGACTCGAGGAACACCATCTGCGTACGAAGTGCCCAGTGCAAGAAGTGCACTCACGCAAGGCAGCAGCCGCATTATGGCGAAATCAAATTTGACATCGAATAAATAAATCAACCATATAAAAATCCTTGCAAGCTTCGGGATCCATACCCAGTAGAAATTGAATGAAATAGTTTCATTTGCACATCATCTACTCTTGGGACAAGTTTGGTACAACATCCTGGTGAATCCGGTGCAGCTCTGGACCAAATGGCTCACCGGCTCGGCCAAGATAGGTTGCGGCCATGCGCAGATGTAGACTATACAGGATGAAGATGGTAAATTACGAAGGTAGGAGGCAATATGATCACGATACAGGACATCAAGGATGATAAAGAGAATACAAGACAGTAAGTAAAAGTGTCATAGATAATCATTTTAGATATGCTTAATGTTCAACCTTTCATAGCAGACAAGGGACACCAATAGCAACCAACATTACGATCCATGAGTGGCAAAAATTTATCTGGTAAGCAGAGAGAGTGGTTTCGGTGCGCCAGTGCAAGGGCAAGGGATTTTAGCAAGGTCCATTTCTTCAAAAATGAGAAGGCAGATGAGGAGATGCAAAAGAATTTAGTAGCACCATGCTTTAATAACAAAGTTGAAGGATAGAAGAAGCAAAAGGAAGTAGCAGGTAGAGAGGTTGATTTAAAAATTATGTTGATGAAGACGTGTGTTTAAGGCATCTTCATAGTTGCTGTGCCCACAGTGGCATCAAATTTTATATTGAGATGAAGGCAGGCAAGTTATCAACACACTTTATCTTTCAAAGGTTAGACAATGAGCTCAGCCATCCTATAATAGACGATGTTGAGCCATAGCGTAGATTTTGTCATTGTAGTGCTTTAGAAAATGATTTTCTAAAATTGGTACCTTGATATATTTAATAATGAGCACTAAACAGGAAATCATAGCAAACATTTATTCTGATAGAGCTGATTTTGGATGAACAAAATACAATTTTAAAAACTGCCAGAGCAAAAGATAAGAGTATAAGAAAGGAAGATGTTGATGTTGAATGTTTTTAGAAAGAATGTTCAGGTCAAGAGGAAGAAAAGATGTCAGAATAGTCTTGTAGCTCCGCACAATAGTCATACTTATCAGGTAGATGTATTGTTCATGCCTAAGAAGATTTAA